TCCCGGGTTCGAATCTCAAGTGATCCACACTTGGGGTTGGGTATGACTGGCTGATGACGGCTAATAAGCCAGAAATGGCCATTCCGGTCTCCCTTGTCTTTGTCGGTATCACCTTCTCCACATATATATATATATACTATGTGGTATGTGTCCTCTGACACGGCGTTCGTTGTCGCCAGTAGCAAGCTGGCGGGCGGACAGAATGGGATCGAGTACGATCCTAACCACAACAGTGAGGGTCAAAGGCCCACTTGACATATATATATATATATATGTGTGTGACAATTCGTGCTTATTTGCGTCAACTCCAATGGTTTTCTTGTTGCCAGTACAACTTCTTCCCTCACCCCTGCTCCCGCTACATCGACGCGTGATAACTACGATGAAAGCAACGGCTGCATCAGCAACGAGGGCATTATGCGACTTCTCAAGCTATGCCGAATGACGTTATTCCGCTTCCCTCCAGGGATTCATACACAGGTCCAAGGAACGCTTGATCTCATGAATGTCTGGCTTGATGCAACACGTCTACCAAGAAAGCCGGATATTTAATCTCGCCTTTCGGGTTATGTCAGTAACGCGTATCTTTGTCGCCAAACAACATTAAGCAACCAGTTGGCAAGAATTTGCGCGCCTCATTACCACAATAGTCGATTCAGACAACGGCTGCCCCGGAGCATACATCGCTTGAGATCTATAATGTCAGTGAAAACAAGCAATTGGTAACTGTTAACACGCAAAGTCCAAAGTGTAACAGCTCCTGTCAAATATTTATCTGCGTGCCTGAAACCCCAGAATGTTTCGCCCACGGTTTATGCATCGACGTCACGCAGACGTGAAGTGTTACAACACACAGGCAGGTCACGTGCGTCAATGAGCAATAAGCCCGGATGAGCAGTCCCGCCTTCGTTCGCACAACTGAACAAGTCGAATTTGAGGTTGCATGTGCACAGAACGGTCGATGGGGGGAGGAGGCTCATTGGCTTCTAGTTCTACTCACAGCCTAGAGTAATAGCAGATCCTCGAATGAGCAGTAATGGATGTAGTTGGATGGGCGCGAAGCACGATGTCTCAGCAAAGATGTGGAAACCGGTCAGGCACAACAGAGCTAAGCTAGGTGCATTTCAGCTCTGTCGGTCTCCTGTTCTGCGTCTCTCTTTCAGTGTTTACGAGTTTGTCTATCGAAAGCGACCGGGACCATCGGTGGTCGGAGAAGGGAATTATTATAACTTGCTAGTGAATTTGTTCATGGTGATGTGGACTCGCGAAACATCTGCCTAACTCACTCCTGCCACACCCACTAACCTCAATGGAAGAGAAGGGCCAACACCATCGGTTGCGCATGTTGCTGCGGTGACTGACAAAACGGTGCGGCTTGTCTACAAGTGCTGTATACCACTTGGCCCCTAGCCCTTAACGAAGCACGCCTCGAGCAGAGAGTACGGTGTCGCGCGAGTGAGTGTGCTGCAAAGACATATTATGGAGAAGCCATTGCCCCCAGTCCTCAGTTCTGTGCTCCATGTGCCTCTAGTGCCCTTATCTGCAACTGTATCCCATGATGGGTCCGAGTGATTATCTGAAACGTCAGGACAGTAAAGATTTGTGTTTCAGCCAGCGCATCTTCTTCCCCCAGTCTTTAGTAGGACCGAGTAGCATTCTTAGTAAGCAAACTTTCAGGCCACGTCTGTGAGCGCGTAACAGTAGTTGAAAAGTACGTCAGATTTTTTGGTGAGAAATGCCCACCACATCATCATCCCCACTGCAACCACCCCAACGCCACTACATCCAGCACCATTACAGGCCCCACGAAGGCAACGACCACAATTGTTGCCCCATCAGCCCACACTGCGGGCAGGATCCCAATCTGTCCTCCAGGGCTTCAAGGACTCTACTACTGTGCATATCTACAAACGGAAAGGGAACCGACAACTCTGTGATAATGAGAGTAATCCCGCTCCTTAAAACTGACGGGAAGATCTTCGCTTACGCCCCCCCCCAACCATCTCAACAACTATCTCGAACAAGGACTCGCCCCGAAAGCCAATGCCGATCCTAAAGAAACTGCGGAACCTTCGACATGATCCCCGTAGCTCACCCGTTGCAAGATGAATGTCAGGAAATGGAGGACTAGCCTTTGCGTTATATTCCCGGATCTAACGAAGACCTACGACACCAAGAACCGCAAGGGACCCTGGAGGGTCATGATGAAATGTGGGTGCCCAGAGTGCTTCATACGCGTGATACGTCAACAGTTGGAGCAGAAAGCTGTTGGAAGCTGTTGGCCGCCTTCTCGCACCACTTGGGGTTGGAGTTGCACACAGACCAGAGGCAACCATCAGGCGTCAGTTAATGAAACCGAAAGACCCACTGCCACGGCAAGAAACGTCTGGAGTCGTTTATCGGATCTGGTGCAGTTGCAGACAAACCAAATACGTCGGAGAAACCGGAAAACAACTCCGAACGAAAATGGCCTAAGACGCTGCAGCGGTGCGGAGAAATGGAGCCAGCTCTCAAGTTGCGGCTCATTCGACGAGGTCCGGCCACACATTCAAATTCGACGAGGCCGAAATTCTCGCAAGAGGTGACAACCATGTGAGCAGGGAGCTGCTTCAGTCATTGTTTACTGGCCTCCAGTCCATTAGCAAGTGCAACGACCTTTCCATTCCATTCTCGGTGCTGAGACTTCGCCTAGGCGGAGTAATTGGCCACGCGGGGAGCGCACAGGTGAACACTTTTCCCAAAACCAGTGTTAGTGCGTCAGATAGTCGAGAAATCATCACAACAACGTCCAACGCACGTGAGGAAATTGCAGCAATTAACGACACAAATGTCGGCCATCA